AGATGGAATCTAACTACCATGCCTTGATATTCAGTGGCGTTACCATCACTGAAACTCCATTATCAACATCCTGAGGGTTACCAGTGACCAGAAACTCAACTGCACTCACTGTATAAACACAGATGGTAGAAGATTAGGGCTCCTGTGCCAGAGCTCATCTGCTCTGACCGCATTTCTTTTTATCCCCATCTCTTTTTCAAAAAAAAAAAAAAACACTTTGTCCTGAGCTTGGATGGCATTGGCAGCAGCAAGAGCCCAGTGCACAGACCTCGAGCAGAGGGGAGGACCTCCGGCAAGTCTACCACGGATCTCGAGCAACCCAGGGCATGGATCTCAAGCAGTCTCAAGTCAGGCCCAGGGTGTGGACCTTGGGTAGGCCTACCATGCATATCAACCCAGGCCCAGCATGGAGGAGAGTGAGCCCCTACTTACTTTTCTGGAGCAAGCATGGAACCTGGAATTGGCAGCTGCTACAGCGGCAGAGGCGACATTGGCAAGATAGGCCCAGCAGCAAAGGATGGCAGAGGGATTGCCGTGCAGGCGTCGTTAATAATGATGCGCTGTCTCAGGACTGATGGACTCTCTTCAAGCTATGTCTTCTCATTCTTTTTTCCTTATTCTTAAATTATTCAAGATAGCATTGTTTCAGGGTAACAAATAAAAGCTTGTCACTGTATTTTATTGTATTCTTACATGACATTAAAAATCAAAATAAAATCAAAGACAAAATCAAATCAGTGGCTACAAGAGCAGGTCAGAGGCTAGGAAAACTGTGGCATATAACTCACCTCCTGACTCCCCATACCTGTCCACCATCTATGAGGTGAGTCAGGAGTGATGGAATACTCCATTTGCTGCGATGATTTCAGCTCCAACAACACTCAAAAAGCTTGACACCATTCAGGACAAAGCAGCCCACTTGATTCGCACCACATCCACTCCCTCCAACACCAATGCTCAGTAACAGTGTATACTATCTATATGATGTGTTGCTGAAATTCCCCAAAGATCCTAAGACAACACCTTCCAAACTCATAACCACTTCCATCTAAAAGGACAAAGGCAGCAGATACTTGGAAACACCACCACCTGCAAGTTCTCCAAGCCACTCGTTATCCTGGCTGAGAAAGATATCACCATTCCTTCACTGTGGCTCGGTCAAAATCCTGAGGGCATTGTGGCTCTACGTACCACACATCGACTGCAGTGGTTCAAGAAGGCAGCTCACCACCATCTTCACAAGGGCAACTAAGAATGGGCAATAAATGTTTGCCTGGCAGCGACATCCACATTCCACAAGTGAATCAAAAAAGGATTTTGGAAGCCAGCTAGAAATATAAAAAATGGATAGGAAGAGTTTCTACATGCACTTAAAAAGGAAACAAAAAAGAAGTGTAAGAGTTGGCCACAGAGGTGAGAATGGATGTTAATAATTGAAAATAAGAAAATGACAAATTAAGTGAACAAATATTTTGTTTTGGTCTTCACTATAGCTGCAAAAATAACCCCTCCATTCAAGAAGGGAAGGAGGCAGCAAACAGGAAGGTATAGCTTGACATCTGTTCTGGGGAAAGCGTTTGAATTGATCATTAGTGTTATAATTGGACACCTAAGACAATCACCCATTGAGAGGACTTTTAAATGCTGTAATTGTACCAGCCTCCACCACTTCGTCTGGCAGCTCATTCCACACACGCACCACCCTCTGCATGAAAAAGTTGCCCCTTTGGACCCTTTAAAATCTTTTCTTTCTCACCTTAAATCTATGCCCTCTAGTTTCGGACTCTCCTAGCCTGGGGAAAAGACCTTGGCTATTCACCCTATCCAAGCCTCTCATGATTTTATAAACTGCCACAGGGTCACTTCACAGCTTCCTACCCTCTGGGGAGAAGAGCCCCAGCCTACTCCCCATCGCTCAAACCCTCCAATCCCAGCAACATCCTTAAATATTTTCTGAAACCTTTCAAATTTCACAACATGCTTCCTATATCAGAGAGGCCAGAATCTCACAATTAACTGCCCACAAATGCATCTACCAAGAAACCAAAGCTGAGCTGGTCAGGACTACCATTTATTTTCATGTTGCTACAGATGAGGCCAGTCATAACCAGATGTATTTTGCTTCCCCATTGGTGCAGGAGTTAGAGATTGCACACATAGCAATTTAGGTAGTCTCAGATCAAGGCAGCAATTTTTGACAATTTGAAGGTATTTCATTTCATCAGTGTTCCAAATTTAGTCAGCATCTGGTTCCTTGAAGAAAAGAACTACTCTCAAAGGAGCAACTTTCAACCATAGCCACATAAAGTACATTAGGCTAACTGAGCAAGCAATTGGTTTGACGGTGTAATTCAGATCACTGGACAGATCTGGAGGATCTTTCGATCTTCCATTTGTAGCAACAAGGCTATCTAAAATAGTGAGGGTCCGCTTTGGCTTGCGAAAACATCACACTGCAAATAGAACTGAAGCTGCAGGAACAGGAAGGTGAAGACAATGGTAAACTAAGTATGCAGGCCATTAGTTAGGGCAAGCATGCACACTGTTCACTGACTTGCCTGATTCTCCAAACAGATAGCCATTCTTTCCATAAAGTTGAATAGCGATTCAATGGTACTGATGTTTGAGACCAAAACCTCCAATCTTTCTCCAGGATGCAATATGTCTCCAAGAATAGTTGCTGGCCAGGTCAAAATTCATTTCTCAACCCTGATTGTCCTTGATAAGGTGATGGTGAGCACCTTCTTGATCTCCTGTAATCTATGTGATGTACAGATGTAGTTCCAATTCAGGATGTTGTGCGAATTGGAGGAAAGCTTGCAACTAGTGATGTTCCCTTGCAGCCACTGTCCTTGTTCTTCTAGACAGTAGCAGTAAGGGCTTGGAAGAGATTGTCGAAGAACCCTTGGCATCTTGTAGATGGTACACAATTCAAACATGCTGCCCCGTTGATGTAAGGGTAAATGTTCAAGGTGGTGAATGGAATGCCAGGAAAGTGGAGAATATTCCATCGCACTTCTGACTTGTTGCTTTTAGATAATATAAAGACTTTGGGGAGTCAGAAGATTCGGCAGGCCCAATGAATATCAACAGGCTGTATGTTCGTGTATTTCGAACTCAATCCAAACTACATACTTAAAATGGAGAACGTACAAAAAGGGATTCACACGGCTCAACCAGAACTGAAAGAGTATACTTATCAGGAAAGATGAGCATCTTGGGGTATTTGAGAAAAGATGAGACTAAGAGCAGAGTTCTTTAAAATTATTATTTGGGGCAGCACGATGGCTCAGTGGTTAGCTGCTTGACACTGCCAGGTACTCCGGTTTGATTCCAACCTTCGGCGACTCTCTGTGTGGAGTTTGCACATTCTCCCTGTGGTCTGCTTGAGTTTCTTCTGGGTGCTCTGTTTTTCTCCCACACTCCAAAGATGTGCAAGTTAGGTGGATTGACCATGCTAAATTGTCTAGAGTGTCTAAGGATATACAGGTTGGGGTGGATTAGCCATGGGAAATGCATGGTTACAGGGCTCGGGTGGAGGGATGGGTCTGGGTGGGATGTTCTTTGGAGAGTCACAGTGGACTTGATGGGCTGAATGGCCTGCTGCCACACTGTAGGGATTCTATGAACTATGTAAAGGAATGCGTAGATGCCGAAAATGTACATAGAATCTCACATTTTCAGCTGTTGCTCCAGAATGGTTCTCTTTACTATTCACTGCTAAGCCTCAGCATTTGCTTGATGATAATTATCACATGGCCATTTGCAGGATTTCATTTTTGCTTTTTAAATATTTTTCATAAGATGCAAATGTCACTGGTAAGGACTTATCTCATCTTTGATAGGGTGATGGTGATGGTGATCTTGAATCACTGCGTTCCACACAGTGTCAGTACACCCACTGTTAGAGAGGTAGTTCCAGTGTTCTGGGCTACCAACAGTGAAGGAATGTCAATATAGTTCCAAATCAGGAACAGTGAGAGACTTGGAAGAGAACTTGCAGATTGTAGTGTGCCCATAATTCTACTGCCCTTATCCTTCCAGGTGTTACAGTTTGGGGGGTTTGGATGTTGCTGGAGACTTGATGTTTTGTGCTTTGTACGCTGTGCACACAGCTCTCACCATGCACTGGTACTACTGTCAGTAAATATTCAAGGTAGTGAATGGGTTGTCATACAAGCAGACTGCTTTATCCAGGATGCTGATAAGCTTGTTCAGCATTCAGGGAGGTCACTTTACCAGAAAAGAGTTTTACACCACACTCTTCACTTGTTATTTGAAGATGGGGGACAGATTTTGGGAGCCAGGTGAACTAAATAGCACAGAATGCCTAACATCTAATCTGCTCTTGTAGCCACAGTATTTATATGGCTGGTCCAGTTAAATTTCTGCTCAACGGCAAGTCCCAGAATGTTGACAGGAGGGAAATGCTGCGATTGTAATGCCAGAACTTTACTCAGTCCTTTAAGGGTCAAATGCTGACTTGATGGTCCAATTTTGTAAGGGCTCTCCGTACAGTTTACCAGACCTGTGCCGTCCCAAAATTCCCTTTAGCACCAATTTTCCAGGGCTCCAATTAGTCAAAACTGGAATAAAAACAAAAATTGTCGGCAAAACTCAGCAGGTCTGGCAGCATCTGTACAGAGAGGAAAAAAGGTAACGTTTCTAATCCAGGGCCTTGTTTCACTCATTCGAATTATGGCTCACCTGCCCTGTAGAGATCATGTCTTAGTCTGACACTACAGAATGACAGAACCCCTACTGTGTGGAAGCAGGGCATTCGGCCCATCGAGTCCACTCTGAAGAACATCCCGCCCAGACCACGGCCACGTCTAGTGCAGACTAATGGGACACATTTAGTCACGCTCCATACCCATGAGCAGTCCGCACCAACACGACGAATCTGTTGCCTAAGCTAGGCGTGTAGCCGTAGCTGTGCCCGAAGAATTACAAAACGTTCCACTTCATTAGACTGTGGCTGCTAACGAATGCTATCTTACCTGATCTGAAAGCCTGAACTGACAACCACGTCCTTCGGATACTCGAACAAACTCTTGCTCTCCAGTCACGTCCAACACACTTTCAAAAACAAGGGGGAGGGGCCCAGCAACGGGGAAGGCGCACGCTGGCTGAGCCTCCACCAATCGTCAACCTCGATGGATGAAAAGGCCGGTGGTTTATTTCGTAAGAACGATTTCGATTGGGCGAAGCGCAGATTCGAAGGGGGTGACGGCCGTCCGCCTTAGGAGGGCCAACCGCGTGGGGCCGGAGCCTTCGCGGTGGGAGGGGGAGGGAGAACAGGGGGGAAGGCTCGTTGAATAGACCAATGGGGCAGGGCCAAGGAGGCGGGGCCGAGCGAGGAGCCAATGGCGGAGCGGCGCGAGCCGGACACCGCCAAGATCGGTTGAGGATGAAAACAGTTGCGAGCGGCTGCAGGCAGCTTCATTTTGGCCGGAGCGGCGCGTCGGTTGGCAGGGAGGGAGACGGGGCGGCAGTGGGTTTGAAAACATATCTTATCCTATCCTAGGACCATCTCAACACCCTAATCTGCCATCCTCCTCCTCCTCTTTTACCCACCCCGCACACCAGTAGCGATAAAAAAACTGACAGAAACAAAAAAAACTAAACCCTTCCCGCCTCTCAGAGAATAATGACAATGTAATTCCAGTGGATTGGAGCTGAGTTTTATTTTAATTTTGAATCCATTCCCCTGATGTGTCTGGTGCTGGGCGAGAAGCGGCGATTTGCTTCATTTCCCTCACTCACCCCTATCCCCCTCCATCCCCTTCTTTATTTGTTAATCGCTGTTATATTTATTTTAAATTTCTCTTCTTCACATTACTCCCCTCCTCCCCTTTCCCCCCCCCCCCCCGGAAAGAGGAAAAAAATTTGAGAAAGCGCCGCCTGTGGAGTCGACAGATTGATATGTGTTGAAAAGGTATCATCGCTTCACCTCGGTTTTTTTTTTCTTAAGAAAATAGGGAAAGGAATATGTGATCGGCTTAATTTTAGCCTCAAACTAAGCTTTTCTTAAGTTTCTTGTCTAGATTTTGTCTCGGTGATGTTCCTGGAAATGAGTTAAAATGACTGAAGTGTTTTTGTTGTTGTTGCTGCTTCATTTTCTTTTTGACACGAATTAAGGAAGGAGAGGCCTGGTGGTGGGGGGAGGGAGAATTGTATTTTTTTTAAGCTGTAATCTTTCAGTACTGGTGTGAGTCCCATCTGCTGTTGCTTTGGCTTCAGGTTGTTTACAGTAAGAGAGCCCCTGGCTTCAAGGCCTATAGGCTCCTGATGAGGAGGGGAGGGGAGAGTGCCGAGGTTGGAGGTGTCCCAAGTTGAAGTGGAGTGGGTATAAGGGGAATTGCAAATACGGCCCGAATTGTTTAAACGTATGAATTTGGCTAGGTTTTCAATTTTAAAAGAAAAATTGAAACGCCTCCAAATATAACACCAGAGTAAGTATGTAAGGCATCAGCACGAAAGACAAAAGCAATTGCAAGCTAATTTATCTAAAACTTTTTTTATCGTCCAAACTTCTTGACGTTGTAAATGTGCATAGTTTTTATATCTGAATGTATAATCTTGGAAGGAACTACACCTTGGAGCAATGAATATATTGATGAAAGGGATAAGCTCTCTCAGAAGGTTTGTTTCGAGCATGCTTTCAAAGTAAAAAGTGTAATCTTTAAATGCTTAATTTTCTGATCGTTAACAAGACGGTGAATATAGGGTATGGAAGGCACTGGTCCTTAGAACGGGATTTGAAAAATAGCGATTATTAAATGTATTTGTATTTCATATTCGTGTATCTGGTGGATAGGCCATGAGGCCTGGCGGGGCCTTTTTGCTAACTGATCTGCAGGAAACCGGTTGTGTTAACGTCTTGTCTTAATGTATTCTCATACCGTTTTAGGATTTGACCTCACTTTGCAAAAGTAATAATGTTGATCAGGTTTTGGTGTAGGTTTTAGACTTACGTAAACTGCAGATTGTTTGATCAGATTTTACACAATTTGCCTAGTTGCTTCTGGAGGACTAGGCCCCAACAATCTGTTTCAGTAATTTACAAATTAAGTTTTGCTTGTATGCAATTGCCAAGTTTCTTTGATTTTTCAGTGCCTAAAGTATTTTCATTTGTAATGTTTTCAAATATTTGAACAAACATTTAAAATGACCTAAAAGCTGCAGAATATAATAGGCAATTGACTGAATAAATAAAGAAAATAGCAGTGTTTCTGCTATGTAATGTAGCTTTAAAAGTGACAAGCCAAATAATCGTTGAAGTTCTGAAAAGTTAAATGAATGCATAAGTTAATTGGCTGTTATATTTTGGAACTTGTGCATAAAAGAAGTTTACTCAAAAAATTATTCAATTTCACTCTTTTATATTTAGGTGCCGTCACATTGGAATCCTGCATGTTTTAATTTTGGCAACTGAAGTATCCAAAATTCAGCAATAAAAGTACCATTAACATGGCCAAAGATGTAAGTCTTTTATTTTTGCCAAAAATAAAGCCTTAATTGTGAACTTATATGCAACAATATTCGGTAACATTAGCTGACATTTTTGTATTAATCCAAAGATGCCCTTGGCCTTATTTGCTTTTAAAGAATAGAAGACGGTTTGCACTTTTATAGTATATCTCGTATCGCAAGTCATTAGGACTCCACTAAAACACTTTGTGTCCAATTATGTGCATCTATGTCAACGAACATGGTAGCCAAGATCCACAAACATCATGAGTTGAACAACTGCTGGGTCATATTGCAGTGTGTTGTGAATGTGGATTATTAGCCAGCATAAAAGGAAGGCTCCTTCAAATAGTGTCATTGTGTTTCAGCTGTTCTTCAGGTACATACGTCTGGATCCATCAACTGGCAGAAGTCATGGAATCTTCTTGTCCACTTGAGTGGATAAATGGGTTAATGTCCCGTCAAAAAAGCAGAAATTCTGCAATGTAGTGCAACCCTCTTTACAATACATTGAAAGATCTACTCACACTACATCAGGCATATCTTATTCTAGCTTAAGTGCAGCATTCTTACACTTTTGAAATCAAAACGCATTGTAAGGTTTAATCCTCAGTTTACTCCTTGCTCCTGTGATCATAAGCCTTTAAACTACTTTTTTGATACAAGCTAGTCTGTAATTCTTGCTGTTCTTACAATCAGTATATATCCCTGTGTGGTCTATGGCCCTTCACCACCTTTTAGTCATTTAAGAAGTTCTGGAGACTGACAATTCTATGTCATTATGTGCAAACCATTTGCTGTATTGTTGCATCAGAAATTATAATTGCTCAATAACCTTTGTTGTTAAGTTATTTTGGCCAATAAATATCAGCAGTTTAATTTATTATCCTCCCAAAGAGAGGGTGTGAGTGACGATAAATATCTTCTCTATTCCCACAGGAGAAAAGTCCAACTAGTTTATTAGCTAGCTGCTGATTATGTACTTCAATTAATTGTTCTCAGAAATGTTCTTACTCTTTCACTTCAGAATGCACAGCTGTCTGTTGGATTATTGCCCCATTGGCAGCTTGGCCTTGCAGTAAATTAACAGGCATTCACAAGGCAGCCCAACATACATATTCATACAAATTAGGGGCAGAAGCAGGCCATTCAACCCTTCAAGCCTGCTCAACCATTCAATAACATCATGGTTAATTTGTTTGTCTAGAATTCCACATTCCCATCTATCTCTAACTTTTGATTCCCTTGCCTAACAAGCTAGCGACCTCTACTCTAAAAATATTCGATGATTCCGTCTGCCCTGCTTTGAAGCATTGAGTTCCAAAGTGTCTCAACCCTCAGTAGAAACTTTCCCACAGTTCTGTCGTGAAAGGTGGACCCCTAATTTTTAAAACTGTGTTCACCTAGTTCTAAACAGACCAGAAGAGGAAATATTTGTTCCATGTCAATCTTATGATAATTCTAAGGTCATATAAATGAAATTGCCCCACACACTTTTAATCCCTGTGAAAGCAAGCCCAACCTGTCCAATCTTTCCTTGTGATAAACCACTCCTGTTAGGTATCAATCTTGTAAATCACTCCTGAACAGCCTCTTAACATGCTTACATCCTTCTTTAAACAGGGAGACCAAATCTGTACACCTTATTCGAGATGTGGTTTGATAAATACCCTGTATAATTGCTTTGTTAAATCCTTACTTTTATGTTCAATTCCTCTGATAGCAATAAATAACATTGCGTTAGCCCTAATTGTTTCCTTGTATGCTAACTTTTTGTAACTTATAACTTGATTATGTAAGTCCCTCGAACTTCAGAATTATGCAGACGTTCATTATTTGAGTAATATTGCTTTTTCTATTCTTCTTACCAAAGTGAGCAACTTCACATTTTCCCATGTCGTACACCATCTGACTTTTATCTTCTTCGTTCATGGAATACGAGCCCATCCTGAATGTTGAGAAGATCATTTAAGGCACAGCCACATTGTCATGGGTCTGGAGTCACATGTAGGCTAAATCAGATAAAGATGGCAGGATGTCTTCCCCTAAAGGACTTTAGTGAACCCAATTGAGTTTTTTATGTTAATCAACATGGTCACCATTGTGCTAGATTTTTATTGTATTCAAATTTCACCATCTGCCGCATGGAATTGAAACCCCTTTCCTCTGAACATTAGCCTGGGGTTCTGGATAACTAGTCCAGTAACGTTACCACTACACTGCATCATCTCACTTTGCTCACTCAATTAACCTCTATATCAGTCTGTGTCCTTATGGCATCTTTGCAACATATCTCCTACCTATCTTCGTGCACTCTGGAAATTTAGCTGCCACGCCTTTGATCTCTTCATCTAAGTAATTGATGTAAATTCTACAAAGTTGATATCTCACCACCGACCTCTACAGAATCTCGCTCATCATGTTCTGCCAATCTGGAAAAGACCCATTTATGTGTACTCTAATTTCTGCGAGACAATCAATTTTCTCTTTATCCGAGTATGTTATCCTCTAAACTGAGTTCTTACTTTGAACAAATCTTTTATGTGGCACCTTGTGAAATCTGGAAATCCAAGTTCAGCACAAATGACCTCCCCCTTTATCTACATCATGTTACTACTTAGAATTCAAATAAATTGTTTAAACACAATGTACTTTCCACAAAACTGCGCTGACTCTTCCCAGTTGCCTTGAATTTTTTCCAAGTCCAAAGTTATAACCTCCTTAATTATTGATGCTAACACCTTCCCCACAACAGACATTAAGGTTTGATAGCACAAAGATAGGTAGGAAAAAAATTCTAGAATTTGCTGTTTCCTCCTCTTTTCCCCTCTTGAATTAAGGGGTTATATTTGCTGCCTTCTAATCTCTTGGAACCTTTCTGAAATTTAATGAATGTGGAAAATTAACACTACCTCATTATCCTTGGATAAAATCCACCAGGATCCCGAGACTTCTCAACCCATAACTCCAACAATTTGCTCAGTGCCTAATGTGATTGTGATGTCACCAAGTTTCTCTCTTTCTTTCAAACTTCTTAATTGCAGGTATTAGTGGGATTTTTTTGGTACCTTCTGTAAAGAAATAGAACCAAAATATTTATTTGTAGCATCACCATTTCTTTGTTATCATCTATTAATTCCCATTCTCACTCTCGAGGGCCTAAACTCACTTTATGTACTCTCTCCCTATAAGTACATGTGGAAACTATCTGGTTTTACGTTCTAGCTAGCATCCTCTCTTATTCTACTTTGTGTGTACTAGTAAACCTTCTATTTCATCTCCAGGCTGAAGCAGATGTCCTGAACCCTAGCACTGGACAGGCAACACAGCAATCTAGACTCTCGCTCTTTGCCACTAAGGCTTGTCTCAATTTCCCACATAAATCAGTTCTGTACTGCCACTGCATTCTTTGTTGCTCCCCCAACTTCCTTGCTGACTGGTTGCTTCCAGAACATGCTGTTCTAAGAAAGCGTCTCTGAGAAAAGCATTCCATAAAGTCCTCACTATTACAAATGTATTTTTTTCCAATTAATATATAGATTAAAATCGCCAATAAATATTATCCCTTAGGTCAGCCTTGATGGTTATTGTAACAAGCTGAGATTGGATAAAGATGTAGGAGTAACCAAATCCATGGTTAGTAGATGGAACCACAATGTCATATCCTTTTCAGAAACTTAGTTGAGAGAAGAGCAGGACTGGCCCTTCCAGGACTTAGATGTTTAGGGCATCATAGAGAGGGAGATTTCAAAAGGAGAGTGCATCCAGCGAGGCCATATGGGTAGAACTAAGGAATAAGAAAGGTTCAAACTATGATAGGGTTATACTATAGGCCTCCCAAAACCCAGTGAGAGATCGAGGAACAGATATGTAGGCAGATCATGGAAAGATGTAAAAACAAGAGGGTTGTTATTATGGGTGCTTTTAAGTTCCCCGATATTGACTTGGACTCTCTTAATGTCAGGAGCTTTGATGGGGCAGAATTTGTTAGTTCCATCCAGGAGAGTTTCTTGAGACAATATGTAGATAGTCCAGGCAGCATCAGAGGAGCAGGAAAGCTGATGTTTCGAGCCTGGACCCTTCTTCAGAAATGACGGAGGGGAAGGGGGCTCTGGAATAAACAGAGAGAGGGGGAGGTGGTGAAAGAAGGTAGATAGTGGAGCAGATAGGTGGAGAAAAGACGGACAGGTCAAGGAGGCGGGGATGAAGCTAGTAGAGGTGAGTGTAGGTAGGAAGTTGGGGTGGGGGTTGGTCAGTGAGGTGGGAGGAGCGGATCGGTGGGAGAGAAGATGGACAGGTCAAGGAGGTGGGGACGAGAGGGGGCGCTGGTCTTGGGATGAGGTTGGGGTTGGGGAGATTTTGAAGCTCATAAAGTCCACATTGAGACCATTGGGTTGTAGGGTTCCAAGGCGGAATATGTGTTGTTCCTCCAGTTTTCAGGTGTCATCGTTGTGACATTGGATATGTGGGAGTCATTTAAAGGTCAGTCAATCAGAGTTCAGGACAAACATTTTGCTTTGAGGATTAATGGCAAGATTTGGGAACCCTGGATGACAAGTGATATTGAAAGTTTAGTCAAGAGAAAGGAAGCATATCTAAGGTTTAGGAAACTGAAGTCAGGCAAGGCCTTTGAGTAAGATAGAGGAAGCAGGAAATAACTTAAATAAGGAATTAGGGCTAAAAGGGGCAATGAAATATTCTCAGCTGGAAGGGTTAAGGAGAATCTCAAGGCATTTTATATGTAAATTAGGAGCAAGTGCGTTTTAGGGAAAGGGTAGGTCCATTCAAGGATAAAGGAAGGAATTTGTGTGGAGCCAGAGAAAGTGTGTGAGGTCCTTAATGAATACTTTGTGTTGGTATTCACCAAGCAGGACATGGATGATGGTAAGGTTATATTGATATTCTGGAGCATGTCGATATTAAGGAGGAGGTGGTGCTGGGTGACTTCAAAAATATTAAGGTAGATAAGTCCCCAGGGCCTGATAGGGTCTGTCCCAGGATGCTGAGGGAGG